TCGCAGTTCCGGTCCCCAAAACACGGACTGCAATCGAAATCTGGCATTCCAGCTTTTGTTACAACCTTCCCCCCCCCCCCCCCCCCCTGCCCCCCCCCCTTTTTTTTTTTTTTTTTTTTTTTTTTGGTAAGATGAATTTAGCATTGTTTAGTTATTAAAAATACTGGTTTTTAATATTGAAAATAAAGCATTTAATATCAACTGCCCGGGCTGCGGGTGTTTGAGGAGCCGGGTGGGTGCTGGGGACCCCCCCCCACCTGAGCCACAGAGGGGCAGGATTGGGGGGGAGTGTGTGTTTGGGGGGGGTGTGACCCCCACTTTGGAGCGAGATGGGTACAGTCAGAGCCTGGCACGGCCTCAGGGTGACAAGTGCAGCCTTTATTGATATGATACCAAGGGGCTGTCCCCTGCTGGGGGGGGTTTCCCCCCAACCCACACAGCAGAGTTGGGTGTAAGGCCCAGGGTAGAGACCCCCCCCCCACAACCCCAGTGCTCTCTAGCAAAGCGTCCTCCCACCCAAACTGGGAACCACTCCTGTCCCCCCAGTTGCGGGAGGAGCTCGGCACCGGTTTGGGGCAGCAGTGTCCCCCAAGCAGGGTGTACCAGGGGCCCACGCTGCCCCATAGACACCCCCCTCCTCCACCAGGAGGGGAAGGGCTGAGCTGTGCCCCCATGCTGAGAGAAAGCGGGGGGACAGAGGCTCAGCCCCACTGCTCCCCAGCTTGGGGAGAAGCAGCTCGAAGTTGAGCTTGGCTGGGAGCTGGAGCGTGCAGCAGCGCAGGGTGCCAGGGGTCTGGCCGTGCTGTGGGGGCCGTGGCCCGAGCACCGGGTGCCCCCAGCCCTTTTAGGCGGGTGGCTTGCGGAAGACACTCCAGGCATGGAAGCAGCGGGTGAAGGGCCAGGGCTCGTTGCCTTTCCGCACCAACCGCAGCTTGCGAGGATGCGTGGGGTCCTTGGAGCGCATGTGCTGGATGTAGACCTGGGGCAGAGCATGACCGTGGGGGTCCCTGACCCTCACCCACCCCCAAGGCTGGTGGTCCTCAGCCTAGGGAGGTGCTGGGAGCTCTGCACCACCAGGCATGGGGCAGGATCAGGGTCCCAAGAGGAGATGGAGATGCCCAAATCCTCCCCCTCCAACAGGAAGCAGGAGGGAAGTCCTACCTGGCAGGCCTTAAGGCTCAGCTTGATCTCCACCTGGCTGGTCTGGGTGCCCACCCACATGTAGACCTGCAGGAAGGACATGCAGCCAGGCTCAGCCCACGGAGCCACTGGTAAATCCAGCCCCTGCTGTGCTGTCCCAGGACACAGGACAGCCTCCCACCCCATCTCACCTCCCGCCCGTTGTCCAGCAGCATGATGTCATCATCAGCCAGGTCATCCTGGCAGAAATCAGAGCACTTCTCTGACACGGAGAAATAGCCCTTCTCGTTGGAGCACCTGTGGGGACAGCAAGAAGGGGACTGCATCAAAGACACGAGTTCGTTAGGACTCAGCTTGTGCAGATGGAAAGCACGTGATGGAACAGCTCCGTTTCAGCTGGTTGATGCCCAGGGATGGAGAGTTGGGAGAAGGGCTTTGCCCGTCATGCCCTGGCTATCCCGGGAGGACTGAGCCCCTCCTAAAGTCCAGGGCACCCAGGATGAGGAAAGGGACCAGTACAGACTGGAGCATCCCCACCTGGATCAGAACCTACCTGAAGAGCCGGGAGTGCTTCATGTACTCAGCATCTTCATCGTAGGGCTTCTGGCTCCCGATGCCCACCCAGAAGAAGTTTTCGGGCTCTTCTCCCTCATTGATCACCTGTGAGGCCAGGGACGTGGCTGAGTGTGGCCATCCCCTCCCCTGGTGGTCACTGCCACCCAGGTAAGCCAGTGCCGAGCCCCATCATGCCCCCACCCGCTCACCTGCTTGCTGTAGGAGTCATCAAACATGTGGTTCATGATGTCCTCAGCCAGCTTGGCCTCGTCAGGGTCAGCTGCCCGGCCCACCCAGGTGTAGACAATGCCCTGGTTGTCTGTGCTCTCAAAGGGCACCTGGGGGAGGGCAGGGGGTCAGGGCTGCCTGAGAAGGGAGGGGGGCAAAGTGGCCGAGCATCCCTGAGGACGCTCAGCTGTGAGCAGTACCTTGAGGATGAAGCAGAACTCTGAGTTGAGCAGACCAGCGTCTGTGTTGATCTGGATGCACCTAGAAATGAAGCCCACGAGGCACCATCAGCAAGAGGTGAGGCAGTTGTGCCCACCGGCACGTACCCTGCCAGGAGACCTGCACCCATGGGTGCTGCCTGGTCCGGAGCATCCAGGGGGTGGGTGCTGACCTGGTGCAGAGGGCCCCGCCGTTGGTGCGGATGTGGTAGAGGCTGGGCTGGGGCGGG